TTCCTACACTTCCTTCCATACAAAGCCTCATACGGTGCCATTTCAATACTAGAATGATAACTATTGTTGTAGGTAAACTCAATCAACAAAAAATGACTATCCCACGATCCACCTTGATCCAACACACAAGCTCTCAACAAATCCTCTAAAGACTGGATAGTTCTCTCTGTCTGTCCATCCATCAGCGGATGACAGGCAGAACTCAATCTCAACATGGTACCCATAGTTGTCTACAAGCTCTCCCAGAACCTCGATGTAAATCTCAGATCTCTATTAGAAACAATACTTGAAGGAATGCCATGCAGTTTCACAATCTCGTCAATATACAATTCGGCCAGCATCTGCAACGAATAATTGAACTTCATCGGTATAAAATGAGTCGATCTAGTCAATCTATCAACAATCACCCAAATTGAATCATATCCCTTCAAAATAGTATATATACCTGTCACAAAATCCATATAAATGTTATCCTATTTCCACTCTGGAATATTCAACGGTTGCATTAGACCCAACGGTCGTTGATGTTCAATCTTTCTCCTCTGACATGTCAAACAAGCATAAACAAACTCGACAATATCTTTCTTCATCCTTGTCCACCAAAACAATTTCCTCAAATCCTAGTACCTCTTCGCAGCACTGGGATGGATACTCAATCTACTTCGATTTCCTTCTTCAAGAATACTCTTTTTCAACTCAATAATATCTGGAACACATACTCTATCATGACATCTCATGATACCATTTTCATTAATCTGAAAATCAGCTCTTCGACTTTGATCCATCAAATTCAACCGATCTACCAACTCAAATCAGATTTCTGACCTCCTCGAATCTCATCAAGAATACCACTAGTAAGCTTCAACATACCAAGCTTAACTCCATATGAAGACTCTTCACAAACCAAACTTATATCACGAAATTGCTCAATCAGTTCTAACTCTCTTATCAATGCATCAAGAATACCACTAGTAAGCTTCAACATACCAAGCTTAACTTCATATGAAGACTCTTCACAAACCTTTAAAATTAAGGGATATAGGTTCAATCTCGTATCATACTTACGCCTCTAATTCCCATAATCTCCTTACAACTACCTCACAGTCATCAGAGTTTCTCACTATCAAATTTTCCTACAGGGTTAAACAAATGTCAAATCAGAGTTTTGGCCATGAAGGCCTAATTTTCCTTAACCCAAATAAATCCCTACAGTTAAAATCTCAATAATAGATTTAGACCACGAAGGCCAAATACCCCTTATCCCATAATCAGCCTCAAACCCTTTAAACCCTTAAATCGGCCTTGAATACATTGAAATTACACATTGAAAACAATGAAGGTAATACTCCCCATACCTTTCGAAGCTTTTGCCTCAAACCTCCTCCTCAGAGCTCTGGCCTCAATTCTTTTCACGGTCTAACAAAATGAATCCTAATCCCATCACAATTTCCTTTTTGTTAAACCTAACTTTGGGCCTATAATTTGGGTTTTTCCAATATTACCCTTACTAACTCCTCCTCAATTGTCCAATTTGCCCTTAGTTAACTTATATTTATTTAAATTAATAATAATACTAATATATTTATATTATATACTATTATTTAAATAAATAACCCAAATTCCATAATTCTCAATATTCCACAACAACCACCGAAAATCACCGAAATGCGAATATTGTTATTTAAATAAATTAAATAAATATTCCAATTAAAATTTGGGGTGTTACATACTCAGATACCTTCTCATTGTTCTTCATGTTGAGATTCTCATACTACTTTCGTAGGGGTTAAAGCTTCACCTTCTTCACTGATGCGTTACCACCATAACACTTAACTAGTGTATCCCACACAGCCTTCACCGTCGTTGAATTAGTGATTTTCACAAACAGATTTGCATCCACACACTGATGAATGTAGAATAATACTTTCTAATCTTTCTTCCTTGTATCTTTCTGCGCATTCTTTTGTTCCTCTGTTGCATTTGCTGCTATTGGAATGTAACCTTCAGCGACAAGATCAAGCACATCTTGAGCGACAAATAGTACATGCATCTGAATCATCCAACGAGTCAAGTTATTTCCATAAAACACTGGAAGCTTGGTGCTCATACCACCGTTTCTGTTCATCTTCAACCTTGTGTAGTCACTCAGATCTCACCAATTCAAGAAACAAAATCAACCACACAACGCCTCACTGTTTCACTCATGTTTCCCGTGTTTCCCCATGGATCTGGACTGGAGCTCTAGATACCAATTGTTATTGCACAAGGTTAAAAGAGATGAATAGAATGAGAGAATATATTTATATTCTGCAAATGATGGCTAAAAAGTTGTAAGAAAGAATTACATTAAATGATATCTACCACTAGTCTATTTATGCACAGAAAATTAGGACCACATAGGCAATATACTAAAGTACTAGATTACCCTCTAACAAAGTTTAGTCACTAAGTTTTGTAAAATATAAAAGATTTCTAACAATTTTGGTGTAAATGTAAGGGAAAATGTAGAAATTGTTATTCAATATACATGTAGTATCATTTTTAAATCATACATTTTGTAATTTTTCTACTTTATATCATTGCTTTCTTTATTTGAGTGAAAGACGTATATGAAAACATATCTTTCTTTTTTAAATAAAAGACACATATTTCATTTTTAAGAGCATATTCAGTATTAATTCATTAATTTTTTTAATATTAACTTCCGTTGTTTATGAAAATTTTTAATTCTAAAAAGTATTAAAAATACATTTTTAATGTGACACACATATTCTTTACCTAAGCAATTTGGTTACATGTAGAATCATTAGTAACAATATAAATTAAAAAGAAAAAGGTAAATCATATTATAGACTAATTTAAAAATTCATATTTATAGATAATTAATATTTCAATAATATATTTAAAGAGAATATATATATATATATATATATATATATATATATATATATATATATATATATATATATATATATATATATATATATATATATATATATATATATATATATATATATATATATATATATATATATATATATATATATATATATATATATATATATATATATATATATATTAGATAATATGAAATGATTTTATAGAAAAAGAGGTTAAAGGTAGACTTAATATGAACTAAAAACATAAACAAATTCTATTATAGAATGAAACATAAAGTATGACTACTTTTTGAAGTAAAAAATTCTTTGTATATATCATAATGCAAAATTTATTATTTAAACTGATTAAAATTAATTAAATTTAGGTGAAAACTGATATTCCAAAGTTTGATTGAGTATGTAATTATCATCCCATCATTTTATGTCATCTCATATATTTATATTAATGAATTAATTAATTAAAATTTTAAATTAATTTAACCAACATTATCAAATAAACTCATGGTTAAGGATGAATGTGAGTAGGGTTTGGGCATGATACTATTGTTAGATTAATTATTTAATTAATCAAATATGAATTGACATAATTAATTATTAATTAATTATATTATAGTCTATTGTTATTAAACACTAAATAGATGAATTGTTTGATTGAGTTTTGTGCCTGAACGAACCGTGATAGGTTGGACCATTCAGTTAAGTCCAATGAGAGATCTACGTCCTCATCCGTTTAACTATTTAAGTGTCTCCCCATTAGACAATTGAAATACTCCAAAAATTCTAAACGGCAATGAGAGTAGTAATTCTCTCATACTCACACTCTCCGGCGACAGTCGCTTCAATCTTGTAAGGTACACCGTTCTTACTAATTTTAAATATTCTAGAATATTATATTATTCTATAATTTGTGTCTATCATATTTATTTTAAATCTATCAATTATAGCCTATACTTGCGTGGGCATCAATGTATGCACCCGTACATGTACCTTGTTCGTATTTTTAGTAAAAATAGATCGATCAATTATAAAATATCAAATATTTTATAGTTTTTAAACAAAATTAAAAAAAATCAGAGATTTTATTGTTGAATTATAAAATAAATAAACATTTATATATAAAATGTTTGAACTTTATAGTGGTGTTTGTTTTTTAAAATTGATAGACATACATTTTTATATAATAATTTAAATTATAATATATAAATATGTATTGTGTGGGTATGTGACGAGTTGAGTACTAAGGTACCCGTACTCGCACTCATACCCGCTCATTTTAGTGGATATTTATCGATGCCCATGTGCGAGTCAATTTTACGGGTTTTTACCCTATCCATTATGGGCATTTGTTGCAGGTACCCAGTGGATATAAGTCAAATTGTAATTCCTACTCATGGTACCTACAATTATATTAAATTTAATATCTTAATAATAAATTTTTATTAAAAAAATGTACTTATAGCCCGATCTTCTAGATCTTTCCATTAGTGGTAGTATTAAGAGAATACAACTCTAGAACCCCATAACAGATAGAAACAAAAAACATATATATAAGTGATAGGATTAAAATATACCTTTGTATAAATATCACAATGTTAATTGTATAATTACTTATAATTATATTTATTTTTTGAATAATTAAAACTAAAAATTTTAAATAATAAATTAGTCATTTTAACTTGTCGGTTTGTCCAAATCCAAGTGAACTAACATGATTTTTCCAAAATTGGATATACGGTTTTTCAAAACCGCGGCCACACACAGTAATTTCAATAATCTCACTTTAACACAAATCATGCATGTAATGTAGTGTATGTTTTATATGGTGGGATCCCGATGTGTGAGAGAAAATTTGTGTTTGTTGTACACAACTCTTAAATTTTAATTTGTATTTTCTAGAATTTTAAATAACAATAATTGAATTTCGAATAAATTTTGGATTCTTCAATACTAAGTTTGCCCTTTTTAATTTTTATTTTAATATTATTTTTTAGTAGCTTCTACTAAACTCTAATATATTTCTTTATAAATATATTAATTCTTTTATCTTCTTTTTAACCTCTTTTGTCTTTCTTATACTCTATTTCTTTTGCAAAGATAAACATGGCCATGAGCGTAGATCATGATGATGGTGTTCATACTGGTTTCATATGGGAAAATCAGTCATGGAGTGATCTCTTAAATTTTGAAAACATAGATGAGACTAGCAAACAAAAGTTAGGTATGAAATCATTGAACCATAAAGAAGGACTTAATGAAGGAGAAGTTCATGTGAGTAAAAAACAAAGTCGAGGTGAGGTTGTGATTATAAGTGAGAATGATATAAATGGTGGAGGTAAAGGTGAAATTTATCGTGATTTAGATCATGAAATGCATCTCTTGGCTGAGAGAGAAAGGAGAAAGAAAATGAGGAACATGTTCTCTAGCCTTCATGCTTTGCTTCCTGAACTACCTTCAAAGGTAAATTTATTTTCATCTTCAATTAGTTTAAGAGTAATAATTACATAATCAAATAGACTTTTTACTATTTTAAAGATCTAATTGTTGGAGCGTAGTATTAGAGGTTGGAGGATTACCAAAGGATGAATTCCAAATTTTTCACATTAAAATTGCGATTGTCCGGTTCCCTACATATTAAAGTTTTTTATATTTGTTCACATAAGTAAAAAAATAATAAAAGATCAATTTGATATTTTTATTGAAAAAAAAATCTTATTTTAATTGTGTTAGTATGATAATATTTACTTAAATAGGATGTACTAAGCACACAATATAACAACTTAATGAAGTTTTTATTTTTACTAGAAGAACTTGAAATTAAATTATGCATGAACAAATATCACTCAAATTTTACTTATCTTCAAATAAAATTTTAGAGTATTATAAATCTTCGTCCTAAAAATCAATTGAATGAGAAGAAAATAATATACATATGAGGATAACCATAAAAGTAAGACTTTTGTATCATAATGATTTATTTACTAATTAAAATTCTTTATTTTTTTTTTTATGAATTTTTTTCAGGCTGATAATTCAACAATTGTGGATGCAGCAGTGAAGCAAATAAAATATCTAAAGCATGTTGTTGAAAAGTTAGAAAAGAAGAAGCAAGAAAAGCTTAAATATATATCCCTATTTGGAAGTGAGTCATTATCTATGATAAAAAAATCACATTGGCGTCGTTATGAATCAAGGGAAACAATCATAGCTGATCATGGATCCTTAAGTTATGATAATAACTTTCCTACTAACGCAGTTGCAACTTCATATCATAATTCAAAAACATTGGCACAATATGCATCTCCACCACAACAAGCAGCTTTGCAAACATGGTCTTATCAAAATGTTGTCTTAAACATTTGTGGTGGTGAAGCACAATTCTCCATATGTGCTACTAAAATGATAGGTTTTTTGACAAGGATTGCTTTTGTGTTGGAAAAATATAGGATTGATGTTGTATCTGCCAACATTACATGCAATGGAAATGCAAACTTCTACATGATTCTAGCTCAGGCAAGTTTTAAACCAAATCTCTATTGTCTCTATGGTTTATATGTGATTTCACTTTATACTTGTATAAACTATAATGTAGTGTCACCAAACAACAATAATAATTTAGTAACTCATTAAAAAATGTTATTTAGCGTGAGTAACTTAGTTAAATCATGTTGATTTTTCAGGCTAGACAATGTTTACATGATTCAAATTCAGTGGAGGAAACTTACAAGCAAGCAGCTAGAGAAATTATGATGTTGAATTCTTAAAATTTAGATTATAGAACTTGTCTTTGCATTTCATATGAACTTTAATTTAGTTTCTCCTCTTGAAAACTGTTAGAAATGGATAATATTGTATGATTGTATTAAGATTAAACAAGTATAATATATTTTTTTATGGAATTATTATGGTGTTTTTCATTTGAAGCTAGAACTACAATGTTTAAACTAGTTTAAATATGCTATTTGTTTTTTTTCTAATATAAACTACATAAATTTTATTAAAACTAAATGAATTTATGTTTATGATTGACTAATGGAAACATATCCATTTCTAAATTTATGTGAGATTGCTAAACCTTGGTGGAATTCCTTATATTATGGGTCTACTCGTCTCTCTAGGGTTTTACTACTATTCTCGTACTACTAATACTACTCTCACGTATTAGATGCGCAACGAGAGCAAAAAAGCTCTTCTAGTTCCTCATAATATAAGAATGTCATGCTCACATATGCACTTGTCATGTAACTCAAGGATGATCAGCCCTAAATTGGATCACAAGGATCTATTAATCTATCTATCAATTATGGTCAATGGTTTTCAAACATCCATTGTATGTGTTACACTCTCCATTAGATATGGTCAATGGAATACAAAAACTCCACTGTACGGTGTAAACTATCTACTATATATGGTCTATGGATTCCATACCTCCATAATATGGATTACACTATCTACCTGTTATGGTCAATAGATTCCAGACCTCCATCGTGTAGAATATGCTATCCACCCAATATGGTCAATGGACACCAAACCTCCACTGCTTGGATTATAATGAAGTCCTTTCCACCAGATATAGTCAATAGGATACCAGAACTCTACTGTGTAGAAATTAATATCTACCAGATATGGTTGATGGCATGGCAGAGCTCTACTATGTGGAATAAACTTTACGGATTTACATCTCTTTATATGTCTAGGGCCATAATATCATCTTGTCATACCCAAATTTTTTACCCTAAGATAGCCACATCATTTTCATCTCATACCTATACTCTTATGCATCACTGGCCCATTTTTAGAAAGTCAAGATTGTTGTTTGCTTCATTATGATCTCCAAGTAGGGTTTTTAAGCTCTATAGAGGATTCAGGCAAAGGATAAATCAAGAATTGGCATGATCTTCAACTTATCAAGTCCCTCAATCATCCATGGAGATGAAAAATATCTCATTCACCAAGAATCAAGGATAACATTACATCATTTCAGGTTGGTCAAGCCTCAAGATCATTTGCATCACCAAATTAAGGTTTTGACCTAATCCAATCCCAAGGATGACTTATGGAGCAAGGTATGATCCAAGACCTCAAGATATGTTTCAAGGACCTCAAATAAATCATATTAGTCCATTCACATGATTGGATTGATCCAGAGAATTTAATTCATAAACAATGCAAGAACTCAAATCCATCTGAGCCACAAAGTAGGCTTTTGATGAAAAGTCAACCATACCTTAGGCTTTTGACCAATACATGATCTCCAACATTGGAGTATGATTCTAGACACTCAAATATATCCTTGAAGTCCATTCAATAATTTTAAAATCTCTTTAGGGTATTCATTCATCAAAAATCAGGAATTAGGATTTCCCTGCACAAAATTCATCTGATACACAAAGTCAAAGTTTGACTTTTTGAGCAAAAATGTTCATCATAAGCCATTATACAAGAAAATATGATTTTTACCTAACTTTACAAGGCCATAACTTGTGATCCAAGCAACCATTTTTTTCACTTCAAAGCTCAAATGATAGATCTTATCACATACAACAAGATTGTTGGGTTGAATCATCCATAAAAAGTATAGACTTTGAATTAAAAGGCCATGAAGTTATGGTTTCATGATGTTTTGAACTTCAACACTTAGTGAAAATTCTGCCAAGTTTTCAGCATGAAACATCAATTTTCAAGGACATTTTTCATTATAATCCAAGATGAATTAAGTCCAATTATGAAAATCAAAGTTGAAGTACATCATATGAACTTTTCAAAGAGCTCGAGAGCATGAGATAACTCTACTTGAGAGAAGGGTTATCGAGGTCTCAACAGACCATGCTGCAACTGTTTTTCAAAAAACAAATTTGGATCATAACTTGCTATACAGGATTCTTTTGTCAAGTGTAATGATCAATGTAACACTTATTTAATGCATAATAGAAGGAATCATAACAAACCTGCAAAATTAGGTAAAAGGTTCAAGAGTTATCTCAAATTGAATTAATGGATTTTGTCACATTATGCCTTGAATTCAAAGGTATTTATATGTAATAGTGCACATTCAAAAAAGGTACTCCTTTCAGTCAAGATGCTCATATAAACAACAATAAAAACATCTGAGGAATGTGGTATGAGTCCAAAGATAAGCTAGCCATGTGGATAGCTATGGTGCCTTGTGTGAGGGGAAATGATTCATCTTGCCAAAACCTTTGAATCCAAGCCAATCTTTGAGCCATCACTATTTCTCCAAGACAAATCCATTCTCCTATAAATAGAAGGCATTTATGACCATTCTAAACACACCAAAACAACACAACACTTGTTTTATCTACTTTCTTGCTTTTGCTCCAAGTTTTTAAATTTTCAAAAAGTGAGAATCATATTTTCAAAACCAGAGATTCTTGGCTCAAACCAATGATTCAAACACCTCACATACATCATATATGAATGACCTAAACACTTAAACAACTTCTGTAACATCAGAAACATCAAGTCATACCCCATTTGCTCAAGATACATCATAAGCTGCAGTTAGATTCGAGCTCATCAATCCAAAAGGTTTTAATCCATTCCAAGCACATCAATACATTCCTTAAGGTTTAGGGAAGCTGTCCAGGTCATCATTTCACAACTGTAACACCTACAACTGAGGATTCGATTTCCTCTTTCACAGGTAAGCCTGAACTTTCCAAACTCCATGAAACATGCATCATTTTTGATATTTCAAGTTACCAACATGTTTATGCATACACACGCGCGCGCACACGCACACGCACACACACACATACACAGACACACACACACACACACACACACATAATGTTTTCCCTCAATCAATTACTATCTATCAATCGTGTATAGGATTTCATAGTGTTCCTGCAAAAATTAGGATTCATCTGTTCATCACTTGATTACTCACTCCACACTTAAAAGAAATGAAATTAATTGGTGTCATCGTGTTCCTTGTTAAAAAACGAGCAACTTTTATGTTTACATCTTTTATATTTATTACGAATTGAGAGAGATAGAAGAAGTTTTGCAAAGCTGATGATGGTGGTATGCGCGAGGAAGAAGAAGAAGGCCATGGCGCCATAATTCAAATTTTCAAAATTTAAAATATTTAAAATATTTTCATATTATTTTCAAAAATTATTTTCTACTTCCAATTTTAATTAGTTTCAAATGAAATTTTGCACAAATATCATCCACATATTTAAATAATTTATTCACCATAAAAATCAAAAAACTATTTTATAGTTGATATATTTTTAACATATTTAATATATTATTTTTAATTGTTTTAAAAATAATTTCAAATATTGATTTTTTCTATCAAATTAATTATTTTTAATCCAAATTTTTTCACACATGTCATTTAAATACCTTATTATTTTAATCCACAAAAAAATCACAAAAGATATATTGTATTTCATATATTTTTAATATATTTAATATATTATTTAAAATTGTTTTAAATATTTTAAAATAATTTCTTTCCTTGATTTTTCTTAAACCAAAATGATTTTAAATATTCATGTGGATAAAATACCATTTTCACAAACTTTAATCATTATTTATAACATGATTAATGGATTCATTTAATAATTTATACATTTTTTTATTGATTTTTCTTTGAAAAATATCTTTAAAAAATAAAATTAGTGTTTTACTTTGATTCTATTTTTCAAACTTCATTTCAACAATCACTTGGGCCTCTATTAGAGTTTAAGACCCAACCTTCTCTGTAAATAAACCACTTCACGGGCCTCTACTGCAATATAAGTCCCATTGCGCTTTTCAAAATCAAGATGCGATCGTTGTTTTCACAGCATGTCATATGGGCCTCTAATAGAGTGTATGTCTCATCTCTTTGTACATAAATAAACCCTTTTTAGGGTCTCTACTATAGTATAAATATTCCTCTCAGTATTCAAAATCACTGTGCTTTCAACCTATCAAAATCTTGGGCCTCTGCTAGGAGTGTAAGTCTCAACCTTTTTTCTTTCAAAATCATCCTCTGTTCTTTTCAAAATAAGATAATCATCTTGGGCATCTGCTAGGAGTGTAAGTCCCGTCTCTCTTTCTATTTTTAAAATCTCCTTCATATTTTCAAAACTTTAATCTTTCAAAACTTTCAAATTTAATCTAAACCTTGAACCAATTCATCTAGGCCTCTCCCTAAGTATAAGACCCAACACCTTTGTAAATGTTTAGCCTCATTCATCCTGGGCTTTGTACATGATACAAACAATTATTTGGGCCTCTCCATGAGTATAAAACCCAACACGTTTTGTAAATCTTTTAGCCTCATTCATCCTAGGCCTTATACATGATACAAATCATCTGAGCCTTTATCTAGAGTGTAAGACCCAACACCTTTGCTCCTCTCCTACTTAAGATTAAGTCATCTTCAAATTCAAATTCAAAGTCTTTTCAAAGCTTTCTTCAATTTCTCAAAACCCTAATTTAATCATAAAGAAAACATATAATCAATCACAATACACTTGGGCCTTTATCCAAAGTGTAAGACCCACTACCTTTTCAAATTCAACTCATACTTGTTTATATACTTATTCATATATCTGTATATATACTTATGCATATCTTGTTGAGTTTGCCTTAGCATTTAGATCATCCTTAGTTTAGATTAGCTCAAATAATAGGACCCTTTCAATCATTATAACTTAGTTCCAACAACTAGTTTCCTCTTGTACAAAGGAATTCTTCTCCTCAGTACAGTCAACCTCCTCTTAGGCTTTATTCAATTTACTTA